GATAATTTTAGTTTAGGTGACTAGAATAACAATCCGAGATCATATCAATTCAAATATATAATGAAGAGGTATTTGGCAAGATGTGGCTTTTTGTCAGTTAATTCAGGTAATGTCATTAATTTTGAGGAGCCCAATTCTGTGTTACAAGATGTGAATATTTTCTGAAATCCTACTAATGTTAATAGAAATATATCTAGTGAGGCTTTTGATAAAATTGAAAAGTAAGTTTTTTATTTCTACTTGGTTTGGGCAAAATCTCATGTTAGTACTGGGAAATTCCATTCAAATAGATTACCAGTTGATTAACAGAAACCAAACAATAATAATAATAATGAAATTTTTTCAATCATTTTAAAATAATTTTCAATAATAAATATTTTAAAAACATTTATTATAATGTAAATAAAATAAAAATATTTAAAAAATTAAATTTGTAATTCATGTTATTGCGTTCATTGTTTTTAAAATAAAATGTTTATTTATTTCATTATTAAAATAAATCATGATCAATCAATTAATCAAATTAATTTTTATAGTCAATAAATTTATAAACTAATAAAAAAGAGTTTTGGCTCGAACTCATAAATTATAAATTTTTTTAAAGTGAAAAACGAATGAAATAACTATTTTATTTACAAATAAATAATATATTTAAAAAAGACAAAAAATTAGAAACTGTGTTTTAAATATCATTTAAAATTTTACAAATCAAGAAAAATTAAAAATTGCATTTTTAAACATCATTTATTTATTATATTACAACAATACAAGGACAGGTTATAAAAAAGGGGAGGAGGTAAATGAGCCCAAATTTACCTAGATTTATTTTTATCTCTTTGTTTACCATTTTTTGGATTACCCAGTACCGATCCAACATTTTACCTTAAGTTGGTATGAAAGATGTATTTTTGATGGAAAATGTTTACATTTTCATGGTACAATTTCTTGTCAAATTCGGTAGAAACATTTATAAAAAATGCTTTGGCATGTATAGCCGATTGGGTGGTGTCAAAATTTTACTCCAACATTGATTGTGAGGTATGCAGCGATAGCCTCATCACTCAATCCAGAAATGAGAATCGCAGATGTCGTATGCTATCACTAAAAGATGTGGTTGTTTATTGTTTATATATATATATATATATATATATATATATATATATATATTTATTTTTTTTTTTTTTTCTCAAAAAAAGAGGGGTAAACTAAAAAGCAACCAAATGCTTGTAGGAAAGTCACCCTATCCAAATGAAATTAAAATTGATCAACATAAATTAAGGATTAAAGTAGTTCAACAAAAATCAATGATTAAATTATTAATAGTTCGAAATAAAAGATACATGGGGAGTATATTCTTTAGTTATTACAATTGTTTCTATTATTGTTAATAATATTTAATGTAAAATAATCAAAACCTAACTATTAAACACATATAACCAATAAAGATAACAAAAATTCAATAAGTACATATAATTAATAACATTATTTAAATCCAGTAAATTCAAATAATATCAGATAGAATATTAAAGTCAAAAGAAATTATACATAGATCCATTCATACAATACACGCATTCAATCATTCACACATACTCACACACATACATGCACATAACACATAGGGTACATAGAAATAAACAACATAGTTTTATATAGTCGATAATAACAAACACTTCCTAATTCAAGAAAATAGTATTTTTTTAATCAGGTAGCGTTTAATTTTAGATTTAAACAAATGCAAGTGACTGAGAACTTTAATCTCAAGGGGAATCACCGTGTCCCAGACCTTTGGTCCTGTTAGTTTCAAACTTATATTTATTAATTTTATTCGGGCTGGATTTGAATAAAAAGTAGGATTGTGTCTTAGAGGCTTACTATGAATGGTATTTATTAGAGTAAAAAAATCTTTACAAGAAGGTGGAAGTAATTCATGTAGGTATTTAAACATGAAAATTGAGACAAAGTATACATGGATGTTGTTTATATTTAAAAATTTCAAAACAGGATAATATTTTGAAACAGAGCATAACGGATGGAGATTTAGTAACAAACGAATGAAACGGTTTTGAAACCGTTTGACCTGATTCAAGTGCACAGCAGGACAATTACCCCAAAGTGAGTTAGAATAAACGAGATGAGGATAAATGAGTGTGTTATACAGTTCCAGAAGTATATTTCTATTTAGTTTATGCTTGATCTTGTGTAGTATACCAATTAATTTGTTAAATTTGTCAGAAATAAAATTAATATGGTTGTCCCAGGAAAGATTATCTTTAACTAAGACTCCAAGAAACCTAATTGAATCAGATCGGGCAATATTGTTAGTGTTAATATTAATATTCAAGTCAGGCAAAGAATTTGTTAAAATTCTCGGACCAAATATTAAATAACTGCATTTGGAATAGTTGATTTTAAGCTTATTTAAGGTAAACCAGTTAACTATTTTTTCAAGTTCACCATTTATTATAGACGAATCATTTGCAGGATTCTTGGTGTGAAAAAGAATAGTGGTGTCATCCGCATAAAGAACAAATTTGGCTATTTCAGAGGCATGACACAAATCGTTAATATATAGTGTAAAGAGAAGAGGTCCTAGAATGGAACCTTGAGGAACTCCAAAACTGATATTAAGAGTCTCCGAACTGTGATCACCAATATTAACAAATTGTTTCCTATTCTTAAGATATGAGCAGAACCACAAATGTACTAGACCTCTAACACCATACAGTTTGGCAAGTAGGATGTCATGGTCAATCATATCAAACGCTTTTGACAAATCTATAAAAACGCCAACCGTCAAAATACATTCATTTAATTTATTTATCACTGTGTGGGCTAGATGCAACACAGCTAATTCAGTTGAAAAATTAGGTCTGAAATAAAATTGGTAGTTGCTAATAATATTATTAGCATTTAGAAAAGAAGATAGTCTACAAAACATTAGTTTTTCTAAAATTTTGAAAAGTGGAGAGAGTAGTGAAATGGGCCTATAATTATTAATGTCTTTTCTACCACCCTTTTTGAAAATGGGAATTATCTTAGACTTTTTAAAACATTCAGGGAAAATGCCTTGCGAGAAAGAGAGATTGCAAATATGGGTGAGTGAAAGGGACTAAAACTTCGTTAATGATTTGATTAATTAGAAAATTACTTAGTGTGTCTCTTGAGGTGCTTTTACTATTTTTTTAAATTGTTAGCTATATTTAAAACGTCTCATTCATTAGCTAACTTTAAAAACATAGACTGATTATTTGATTTTAGAAATTTAGATGAAAATTGTGTTGAGATGGTATGACTGTTTGATTTTACTATATTAGTGAAATGAGTGTTCAGAGCATTACATATCTCTTTAGTATCTTCAATCGTTACATTGTTAATATTGAGACTATTGATAAATAAAGAAGAAGTGTTCTTGCTTAAAATTTTATTTATCAGTACCCAATTTTGTCTAGCGTTTGATTTAGCTGCAGAAAATTGTTGTTTGAAAAAATTATTTTCAGCCTTCCTTTTATAAGAAGTGAAATTATTTCTGAAATGTTTATATTTCAAATAGTTATGGACCGTAGGATTAAGCCGATAGAGTTTAAACAACTTGTTTTGTTTATTATCTACTATTCTCTAAACACTCTATTTTTCTTAGAAATTCTATAACATCTGCTTCAACATCTAAAAATAGGTGGTCTGTTCTATCTAAACTTCTACATAAAAAAATCTTCTCACTCATCTTTTTCCGCTCAACAGTTTCATGACTTTTTTGTAAATAAAATTACTTCTTTAAGAACATCTAATTCTAATTTTCCTTCTCATAACTTTACTAAACTTACTACTGAATCTTTTTCTGTATTTACTCCAATAAATCTTTTAGAACTAACTAAAATTATTAATTCTATGTCGTCTACAACCTGTTCTCTAGATCTACTTCCTTCTAATTTACTTGAAGAATTTTTTTCAATATTTTATCCAATCATTCTCAAATTAGTTAATTTATCTCTTTCCACCTCTAAATTTCCTACTTCTTATTAGAATTCTATTGAATTCTATTCTATAGAATTGTTTTCAATATTTTATCCAATCATTCTCAAATTAGTTAATTTATCTCTTTCCACCTCTAAATTTCCTACTTCTTATTAGAATTCTATTGTTAAAAACACATCCCTAGATCCTACCTCTTTATCTAATTATAGACCTGTAACTAATATTACTTTCATCTCTAAAATAATAGAAAAAGTTGTTTTTAATCAACTCTCATCCTATTTAGACTTTAACTCTTTGCTACCTGTATCTCAATCTGGTTTCAGACCTGCTCACAGTACTGAAACTTCTTTACTTAAAATACACAATGATATCCTTCTCTCTAGTGACAATAGTAATCTTACTCTTCTTCTTGCTCTTGACTTTTCTTCAGCTTTTGATACTGTTGACCATACTATTCTCTTGAGACTGCTGCATCTTTCTTTTAATATTACTGATTCTTGTCTATCTTGGTTTTCTTCTTATCTCTGTAATCGTTTTTCTTCTGTTGTTCTCAATAATTCTACTTCTAACTCCTCTACTCTTACTTTCGGGGTACTTCAGGGTTCTATCCTTGGCCCTCTTCTATTTATACTCTATACTTCTGAACTACCTCGTATTATTAATAACTTTTCTTTCTCTAGTCAACTATATGCTGATGATTCTTATATTTATACTTCTTTTCCTCCATCTAATCTCAATAGTGTTCTTCATAATTTATCTCTATGTCTTTCTTCGATTATCGCTTGGTCTGACTCTATGTGTCTTAAACTTAATCCTTCTAAGTTTGAATTAATTTGTTTTAATAAATCTAAACACTCAATTACTATTCCTCCTATTATCTTACCTGATTCTAAAACTCTTGAT